GTGGTTTGATTAATAGCAACAGATCACTGAAACAGAGACTCCAAATCCTCAGACATCTTTTAAAATAGGAAACGAGAAGGGCAATGCCATGGTATAAAAAGAAGGCGGAAAGATTGGTAGCTGGTATATTATACCATGAAGTCAGAATCAATTTGTAACTAGTGGAACTCTATGGGCCAGGTCAAGCTTTTGAGTGTTATCACAAGATGTCAGTTCTGTTCCTATTCAAAGAGCTGCAAGCTCTTTACTGAATAACAAAGACTCTTTCTTTCTGTTCCCTGTGGAGATCTCATCATCACTTTGCCTCATATTTGATTACCATGTAGATGGTTTCCTTATTCTGGCTCTATTCATTCCCATGGGGAGACCTCCTAGCTCATCACTCTGACCCCCACTACCTCCCAAAAAACTGGTTTACACAACTCTCCTTGGTGCTTCTTGAGTGCTCCTTTGTTCGTATCCTTAGTATGACACTCATCACATACATGATTGTATTTAGGTAAACTCCACAAGAGCGGAGACCTGCTCTGTATGGTGGTTGCTGTGTTTTAAGCACCACAATGTCACCCACACAGAACAGAATATTCAGGAACATTGCTTGGTTGAAGTAATGCATGTATCTGCTACATGCTGTTTGTTTTTGGTGCTGAGGCTCCATTACCCCTTCTTTCCATCTTCTCCATTGCAGAGTATGGGCTGGAAACATGGAAATGCTAAGACTTGCCTGTTGCCAGTATCCATGCGCAGTTCTGGCCCATCAAAGCCAGACATGGGAATAAAACTCTTGAAGATGACCAGTGCAGTTGTGTAAGTAGAAATGCATGGGGAACGATGCACTGGTATTGTAGTCCTGGACCAGTGTGCTATCACTCCTTGAAGATTCCTGACATATGAAGGGAAGGTAATGGAGCAGTTCTTCTGCTACTGCTTATGGCATTTAACAAGTGATTTTATAGAAGTCATGCCATTTTTGCAGAGGTTGCAATAGGACCGATATGCCTAGTGGTACCCCTGACTTTTGTTTTGCAAGCTTTTCAAAGATTTTTTGAAGCACCCAATTCTCAATTAAGATTCTTTATTTCTAAAGATTCTTGGGGTATCCAAATGCCTGTATATGTATGGATGCACATGTATACATATGCTTTCCACTATAGTTTTTTTCTTGACAATGCATACAGATAACTTAAATGGGATCCATGAGAGCTTAAGATGATAGAAAGGTAAGAGCAGAAATAGTGAAGAATTCTTGTAGGTCTCACTTGAACCTTGATGAAGATCTTTCTTTGTTTGCGGTAGAAGTACAAGCTAAAGTGGCCAGGGGTTGCAGACATGGAACCTGTGTGGGAATGAGGCAGGATGTCATCTTTCCTGTGCCCCCATCAAAATGGAGAATAAGATTTCCAGCTGAGAGCTGTCAGGCATGAAGAAGAATCTGGAAGCTAAAAAGTCACACTGACTAAAGGAAAGAAAATGAGAATGGTCTGAATATGCGCTCATCAAAGCTAGGCAAGCTAGGTACATAACACTCAAAGATGACCACTTAAAAAATCTAAGTGGAAGTGTATAGTAATGGATGTAGAGGATTTCTTCTTTATTCCAAATTTCTTTTCACATGTGGAGTGAGTGTACTAGCATAGTAACCCTGGACATGCAATGCTACAACTTACTCTGTCCTCATTGGGTGGCTTCATATGGAAGGAAAATGAAAGCACAGGAACCCAGAAACTTAAAAAAAAACATTTCCAGGAAAGCGGTAATCCCTGTTCTCACCCATGTTTTAGATTTGAAAAGGGTTAACTTTCAAAGAGGCACACTTATTTGCCATCTGGGAACTCCATGTAGCTGTGGATTTGATTTTGGGAGACTCAATTTGCATAGTTTAAACAATATTCTTTCATAAAGTTCATACGTCTTAGCTGCAGCATCAAAATCCCCAAACGTTAGTCAACAATAGACTGTTCCCAGTTTGAGTAACTGCAGAACCCGAAATAACCATAGTCAACACTAAAATTTTATTTGGCATGAAGCTACTTATTGTCTTTATCTATTTAGAGTGGTGGTTCTCAACTTTACTAATACTGTGACTTTTAATACAGTTCCTCATGCTGTGGTGACCCCCAACCATAAAATTGTCTCATTGCTATTTAATCACTGAAACTTTGCTACTGTTTTGAATCATGATGTAAATATCTGATATTAAGGATATCTGATATGTAACCCCAAGTGGTTGTGATCTACAGGCTGAGAACCACTGACTTGGAGCTTTGGACCTGTAGCCACATGTGTATATAATTAAATGACATATGTGTTTATATCACTAAGTTTATTAAAATGAATAATTTTCAGATTCTTAGTCACACTATTTAGTACTTACCTATCACCCATGACTAATGCTACCAGAGAACACAAACATTTCTAGCATTCAGGAAAGTTCTGCACAACATTTACAAAAGTGAAGGCATGTGTTCTTATAGACACATCTATGTCATGATTGTTAGTCCCACATATTTAATAAGAAATACTCATTTCCTCCCCCCAAAGACAGGAGAGAGTACCAACTCACATTTAATCCAGGAGGTCATGGGTTAATTGCCGTGGCCTTGCATCATCCTTTGTCAATAGCAAAGACAATGTCTTTTCTTTTGTCTGCATGAAGATTTAACTTTACCATAAACTGGTTTAGAAGAGAGGCATGGATTAGGAAAGCCCTTCTGTCCTAAAAACGAGAGTCTCTTGCAGGATCCTTTCCTTTCCCTATGCTTGGAATGTCTAACTTAATCACAGTGGACTATTTTGTACTTACTTTGCAAACGTTTTTCCAAAGAAGTAAAACAGTTGTTCTGTTAGAGAGACAGTAATGACTTGACTATAAAATATCCAAGGATTAAGAAAGACAGCACAGATGAATGAGAGTCAGACTAAGTGAAGTCCATCCAAGTAATATATGATTGCCTCCCCTGACAAATACCCAGCATCATCCATATAGTAAAGACAGGTCAGACATGCACAGACTTTTGAAGAAGTACAAGCCCATTACAGTTCAGTATACCCTGAGATTCTCTTGTATGTCCCATGTCTACCGTTCAGTGGGAACAAGTAGGTTGGGACAGTTGTGTTCCATTTCAGTTGCCTGTATTTTTGGAGCTAGAAGACTCTGGGCAGCACTTACCCTCCATATTTGGCCATGTAGATGTGAGACATTTACAGGGATCTGGATGCTGTCTAGACTTGCGAAGAGCAGCAAAGTAGGTATTTTGAGTTTTCTATGGGATCTGTCTGTTTCACTTTGCTGTATGAATCCAGAGAATTAGGTTCACCTAGTAAAGCCTGAGTTGTCTCACCTGTGGAATAGGAGGAATCCCTTTGCTTAAAGCCTGAGTTGACTCACCTGTGGAATAGGAGAAATCCCTTTGCTTACCACTCCCAGAAGTGTTTGAGGATGAAATCAAAATTTCATGCGCTAATGCATGGAAAACTAATTACCCATTCTGAAAACACATATTGCTATAATTGTGGTTGGGGAATTTCTAATTCCACACTAGTTTTATAAAGCAGTACCTATTAAAAACAGCCACCTAAGCAACAGTCTTGTTGGCCTTCTCAAAACAAAACAAAGATGGCTTCAACACAAAACAGCTTTTATTCAGAATGCAAATTGGGCTTCTGCTTGTAAAGGAAACATGAGATAATGTCCTTTGTCTTAACTTGACAGTGGAAAGGCTCTTCATCTTTAGTAGTGCCCAAGAATCTAATATTGGATGGTACCAAAACACAAGCATTTGCTTTCTAAATTGAATCTATAAAGATGCCAAGGTAAAGTGCTGGCTCGTATGGAGCATTTCCCGGAGTTTTAAGGCTTCAGGCTGAGAGCATTAAAAATGCCCATCTCTGCCTATTTTCAATATGCCCTTGGCTCGACAGTCTGGATAAAATTCAAAGTCCTCCTTCTCAAGTAAGCTTCACATTTCTGGACCTTTAAGATCAGCCTGGAAGCCATCCAGCAAAATCAGTGACCAAGAGGCATGGCTGATGCCTCCCTTGTGTTTGCTTTCCTGTGCTTAAGTGTATGTCATGCTTTTAGTGCAACTAAGCTGAGAGTTGGAAGAATAATGAGCAGGCACAGGTGTAACGAAAATGAGATTAACCCCTTTCCAATTTCCATAGTGAGCTGACAATATAGAACCATTACCACGGAACCCTAGAAAACGCACATTTAAAGTAAGAAGCAAATGAACCACAGCTAACATTATCAGAACTCCCATGGTATTTTAGAAGCAGTTTGCTTAAGGGAAAAGGCAGTGCTTTAGCTGGTGTCACAACAGGACAAGCAATTCTAGTGGCATTTAAGAAAGTCTTGGATAATTGAAAATTTCAGGACTAAACATTATCTAATACAGTTCTTTCAGACATTATTGCTGGGACTTTCCTGAACCTTAACTTGAATGAGGCTCCTCACTTTAGGGTCATTTAATGCAGATTTCATGTCGAAGTCCCAGATGGCATGCTTGATAAGGAATGGTGTTTAATGTCACCAGATCTCTCTAAAATTGCACTTTATTCAGTTTGGTGAAAGTGAGTTGTAAATTCAGAGAAGGGCAATCAGCAACACTCCCCTCCCCCCCACCCCACCCCACCAAAGAACTCTCCTATTAATTGTGGTGTGTTACTTATTTGATTCTTTCCTCAATTCCACTGTGACCACAAAAGCTTTACCAGTAATTTCCGATAGTGCACCCTCTCCCGTTTAGAAGTGATTGTTTCTATAAAGTTACTTTTTCTGTCTTCTCAGCATGTATTTTACAAGCAACCAGAGCCTTGAGCATTCAACGGAGAGAACTCTTCAGTTTAAACAAAACAGAACAAAATTTGTTTTGTTAAAAATTAGGCTCAAGGCTTGTTAGCGTACACCAGTCTTACAGATTTATAAAACTCTCCTTAGGGTCACCCCTCCCCCCGTTTCACCTGAAGTCTTAGCCTGTTTGTGAAACGTGTGGTCCCTTTTCTCACCACCCACTGGGAACAAAAGTTAACCTTAAGAACTGAAAACTGCTTCTGTCATGGTGACTGCAAAAGCCTGGAAACAAGTTTCCAGTGAGCACCTAGCATGAGCTTGACCCGAGCAGGAACTCCACCCAGGAGACTGACACCCAGCAGAGATGAGCTCATCTGAACCTTCCAGGACCAATTCATTGCTGGGTGAGTGCCACTCTGGCCTGGGACCGCCCAGATCCCTGGTCCCCTCGACCTCCACCGCCCTTCCCACCTGCAAGACCTGTGCTCCAAGGAACATGCTTGCCACCTGGATGAGGACATATGGCGCAGGTAGCCCCCTTACAGCTATCTTTTGTGATTATCAGGCGAAAGAAACCGGTAGAGGAACGGCAGTGGATGGAAGAGGCAGAAAGATTTTCTAGAAAGCGCCTGTTAACAATGCCTCGGCTATGTCTCAGATTGACTCAGGGAAGACAAGTGTGTCCTAGAAGTCAACAGGGAAGCGGATGAGTTAAAGAAAAAGAAGTGATTGCAATGAAATTCCCACGCGCTCCGGGCTGCTGCGGCAGGAGGCAGGGAGCGCAGGGGGTGCAGCGTGCACCTGGCTGTGAGGCCCCACACACTTTTGGCCCCGCACCGATCGAAGGATCAACAGACAGACAAACAGGGGCAAGGGACTTACCTTCAGGGTTGGCGCTGATGAAGACTCTGACGCTGCGGCCAGCGGGTACGAGGTGAGAAGGCAGGGCGGTAAGGTTCCCGGAGAACGCCGCCCGCCGGAGAGCGGAGTCCCGGGGACAGGGCAGCTTGGTGCCCGCTCCGGCCGGCCACATCGCCCTGTGGGAGGATCAGCTGCCACCACCACTTCTGTTCCTGGGATCCCTGACCCTCCGCGGCCCCGCGAGGGCTACGTCGGCGGCTGGCGCAGCAGCTCAGAGCGGCTCCGAGCCCCGGGCGCAGCCCGTAAGCTCCGTGGCGCTCAGCAGCCGCCCGCGGGCGGTGGCCATAGGGACCCTGTGGTCCCGGGGTTGCGGTCGCCTCCCGCACCTCTAAGGACTGTTTTGGCTCTGGTCCAAGGCTCGGCGCCGCAGCGCGGGAGGTCAGCGTGGAGGGTGCTACGCGGGCGGGGCCGGGTTGCGCCGGGAAGAGCCCATTTGGCTCTTGGAGCTCGTAGCCATGCCCCTGCCTCGCCCTCCGCAGGGACCCGACAGGCGACCCAAGCAGGTCAAAGTTTAGGAGCCGGTGGCGGGAGTCGGTCTGGATTCGCCTCTCCCTCAGCGCAGAATTAAAGCGGCTTACGGGGTGGCTGAGGTGTGGGCGCGCGGGCTGGGGGCAGCTCGGGAACCTCCCGGCTTCCTCCGAGGACACGCTCCAGAAATCCCGGCTGCTCTGTCAGTGAAGGACAGGAGATCGATCTGCCGGAGATTCCTCCTATCCCCCCTCCAACTCTCCTAAAGGTCAAACCAGCCCCGAGCGTTTGCGGGAATCCAGTCGCGCGGGCGTCTGTACGCCTTTGCCAAGTCCCCAAAGTTCAGCGCGCCTCGACACCCCACGAGGGGCTGGAGCATCAGAGCTCCGGACATTGAGGGAGGAGGGTCACAGTCTCCCTGCCTCTCGTGGCGTGGGAGGCCGCGTCTCGCCTCTGCGCTCTCTCCGCACGCTCGTGCGAATCAGGAGATTTTTATAGCTAAGCCACGATGCTCACGTGGTCCTCCCCGCGTGGTGGCAGACCCTTTCTGCGAGCAAATCTCTGCGGGCAGCCCCCCCCCCCAGATCTCTAAAGGACCCGTGGAGCCTTCCTGCTCCTGCTGAGATGCCTTCCCTGGCTGTTAGCCCTCCTGCGGGCTCAGGAGCAAGGAGGCTTCCAGGACTTTGGGAACCCTGTGCAGTGTGTGTAAGCTTTGGCCCCACGGGAGGCTATGACTTCCCAGAGGGAGACCTCCAGCCACGCCCCACTTCTGGAAAAGTGCAGGGAACCACAGTTTGGGGTCCAGGTGTTCAAGCTGGCCTGAGGTTGTGGGTTGTTTGCAGTTAAGATTTCAAGGCAGTGCAAGAGTCGACTTCACTTGAGGCAGATCCAACCAGCCCCAGACTGTGCTTCCAGGGGTAAGGGTAGGAGCTGAAACTTCTCAGGGTCCCAAGTGGTATGTGATGCACATAAGTCCAGTTGTAAAATTATTGTCACTCTCCGAAACCCTGCAAACCCCAGAGAGGAAATAAGTGTGATTCTGTGGCTTGGGTCGGGATGCAGCAGAGAGTAGAGTATTTGGAGCCTGGGTTGGAATTTGGGCTTCAGATGCTTCATTCTGAGTTTGGGGCAGGAACCTCCAATCCCCAGAGACTTAGCTGGGCATGGTGGCTTACGTTTGTAGTTACCAGCTCTTAGAAATTGAGGCCGTAGGATTGTTGCTATTGCCAGGACAGGCCAGCCTGGACTAAGGTGTGAAACACTGTCTCGAAATAAAATAAAGCAAAACAAAATCAACATTTGTTCCATGACAAGTTTATCTTCTCACCTGAAGACTCCTATGCCAGGCATCCTCTGGCGTCCCCAGCGCCTGCACTTCCTCTGGGTCCTGCTGGTGGCAGTGAAGTCCTGTGTTCTGCTGTTTATAGTCTTAGAGTACCCACACCCAGCACACATTCCGGGGTAACCTCTTTGGAGGAAATGCGTCTCTAGGTTTTTAAGACTCAAACTACTCTGGAGAGCCTGGAACAGACAATACTGGCTACTGTGATAATTTTACAGAACCCACGAAGAAGCCCCAAATAAAACCCAGCCATCTATTCGATTAATTCACTGTAGCAAAGGATCTCTCCAGAGTCACGGTTTCCAAGTGGGAAGGTACTCAATCGGGAGCCACATGCAGAAATTTTCATCCTTCATGTCCCTTGGGTATGCACTGAGAATCCTGGACCAGGTAATGAACAGAGATGCTCTCTGCTCCAGCCCTTGTGAAGACATGTCTATCACAGGAAAGGAGCCAGGACCACATTATGCTCCATCTGCCAGCTGTTATAAAACATGGATAAGAAATTCACCTGCCCAAATTCCCCTCCCCTTATTTATGTCTCTGTTCTAAGAATCGAGATTAGCAGTCATGTTTCCTGACCTTTGGTTCAAAACTTGCTTTGGTGTTGGATTTTCTTTGAATGACTTTGGAATTTTTGGCAGCCTTTGTAACCTAATTAACTTCTAGACAGGCTGAAGTTTAGCATCTGCCTGTGTCACTGCAGACCAGGTCTGCAGAGAGCTTTGTCACTGTTTGCAGTGCAGTCTCTACATGACCACCTTTGCTGAGTTAGAACAGAGAAACTTTTGAGTAGTGGGGAGGGGTCTGCTAAATACAGAGTCACCTACTGTCACCTCACATACCATCACCCCCCCTTCATTGATATCTCCCAATCTATCTCATTTTAATGGTCTGAAAACAAAGACTAATCTCAGCATGTAGATGGGACAAAGGGGAGGCCAGCCATCATGGAAAGATTTTAGTGTTAATTCCTATAATTTCCCAGCTCGAGGAATTAGATTACTGATTGATCATTATATAAAGTCCAAATTTTGGAGGCTACTTAGTTTTTTGTCTTTGTTTAAAACATTTTAGCATCTTGCTGTTCAATTTTGCACATGAATGAACAAGGCTGCAAAACTAGAAATTACTAATACAAGGTCATATAATCAGTCTATACTAGAACCAGAATCCCAGTATTGATGCTCTTTTCAAAGATTTTTTGCAACATAGTAAGTCTGTTTTCTAATTTCCCGAGTCTGGCCTTGGCTGAGATTTTTAACGACCTGGACAATGCTTGCCCAGACCTCATGGACAGTTGTGGAAGGCTGGTTGTCCCTTCTGCTTTCAAGATGCTCACACGAGTCCTCACTCTTCTGACTTTTATTTCCTTTTTTAAAAAAGTTTTCATTAAGATCCCACTGGGAAATCAATACCATTCCAGAAGCAGGCAGGAGAATCTAAAACCTCTAGAAATGAAAGAAAAAGAAGTCACGAAACATGGGTCTAAGACCATTCCATTTTCTGCACTCAGCGACCCCAGTCCTTTATAATACTGACCTGTGGGAAGGTCAGGTCAATGCTAGGACCCTTCATGCACTGGGCTTAAAAAAGCCATTTGCTCATAGACTTCATAACCTCCTCGATATAGAAGTTAACGACCCTGAAATAAATCGCCATTCCATTAAGACAATATCTAGTGCTATATTGAGTGCTGCCTATATGGTACACACTGTTTTAAGCTTTAATTACTATCTCATTTAATTATATTGCATTAAGGGTCTTCACCTAGCATGTCCTATCTCCAGTCTAGCATCATGTCTTAGCCATTTTTGTCCCCTGTACACCATCTTTAAAATTGTTATTCATTTACTTTTATTTTTATACACTTTAAAAAAGCTTTACCCACTTCGCTTTCTTCCTTTCAGCCTCCCTCAAGTGCTCTGCTCCAACTTCTGCCACCAGTGATTTCTCAGATTGATACTCTTTCTCATTACTATTACATATATGTATGTGTAAGTATGCATAAATATTTGAATATAGTCCACCTATCCACCTAGTCGATTTTTCTTTTCTGTGTATATGTGTGTATATGGTTTGATGGCTGAGCACTTTGTATTGGCCTCATTTGTGGGAGAGGCTAGTTCTCTCTCTCTCTCTCTCTCTCTCTCTCTCTCTCTCTCTCTCAGCAGGCATTAGTTGATGTAATTCTTCGTCTAGGTGGGACTCCATGAAAATTTTACCGTTTCTCGTCCTAATAGCTTATCTATTGACATTGCTATTTGTTCTGGTCTTTTTTATACATCCTTTTCCAGAAGACTTTCTGGTCTCCTGGTTCTAGAAACCTTTCCACCCCTCTTTCCTGATGTTCCCTGAGCCATAAATGCAGGAGCTGTGATGCAGATGTGTTCACTGGGGCTAGGCTCCCCACAATATTATTTCTGCATTGCATCTAATTGTGGATTTTTCTTCTGGTCTCCATTTGCTGTAAAGGAAAGTTTCTTTGATCAGGGGTGGTAGTTACAATCATTCCTGGGTATAAAGATAAGACTCAGAATGTATTTGGGGATTAAGCTCATCTGTCAAATAGGTGCTAGCAGATTTCTCTCCTAAGATACATGACATCAGTATCCCTGTGAAGATGGCTAGGTTTCTAGTACTAGGTAGGCATGATTTCACTCCTGTTGTGTGGACCTTAAGTCAAATTATACAGCTCTTGGTGACTGCCAACATGTGAGGGCCATTTACTGAACATTCAGGGATATATTGCCACGCTGGTCTTTATTGTAGTTCATAGATGTTGCAGTTGAGTAGAACAAGTGATTGTTTCCCTCCCTTGGAAGCTAGTGTAGAATTTTCTGGTACCATGGAAGTTAGACTGCAGAGCAGAAACTTTCAGGCTAAATTCAGCTTAAATAATGCAAGTCATGTACCACTAGTGTGTGGGGTCTTCAACCTCTGAGAAACAACCAAAGGCAATAAACAATAATCTAGATTGGTTTGGGAGTCACTTGGGTTACCCTGACCAAAGAAAGGAGGTTTCTTGTGCCTGGAAGTGGGATTTTTGTAAGCACATGGTTATTATGTGGAGCATTGTCAGCACAAGTAGCATATCTTCCTTGATGATGCATATATACATACATACAATGCATATGCAACACATATGATGCATATTATATTTATTATTTATAATTTTAGCTAAATACAAATAAGATGATTCATTGAGGCTTTATCAAACAGCCCACATCTCTCTCTTCTTCCATATTGGTCTCCCTCTCCCTTCTCCAGGGGAACTCCCTCTCCATTTTCCATTTTGTATCACTTACATCACACAATTTCCCCTCTCCAGGCCACATCAGTGGTTCCTTTCTAATTTCCTGATCTCTGTGGTCACTCCATATTGTATACTCACATCTGAGGATTTAGAGCTAGGGGTCCCAGATGAGCGAGTCCTTGTCACATTTGTCTTTCTGGATCTGAGTTACCTCACTTAATATACTCTTTTCTAGATCCATCCATCCATTTACCTGAAGATTCCATGATTTCATTTTCCTTAATAGCGGAAGAGTGTTCCAATGTGCATATGTACCACATTCTCATTGTCGGCTCATCTGTTGAGGGAAATTTAGGTTGTTCCCATTTCTTGCCTATTGTGACTAGAACAGCAATGAACATGGCTGAGCAAGTGTCTGTGGGGTAGGATGTCTAGCCTTTTGGACATGAGTGTACAGTCTGTGTCAATCAAATATTCTGACCAGGAACTGGTTTGCTGTTCTGTGTTTGAGCTGTTGGTGCGGGGGCCGGGGGAGGTAATTTTAAAGTATTATGAAGTAAGCCAGACAAACACATATTTCCATTTTGTCTCAGGGACTCAAGCCAATGGAGTCAGACATGCACTGTTTGTGTTTCCCAAGCTTGAAGCAAGATCTCATATACGATATTACATTCATGCTCCCAGTGGCTTTCTGATTTGGTGATAAATATTTGATTCTGCCTTGCTAATGTGAGAAATGAATAATACATGTTCACTCAAGCCAAGACTCTACCTCCCAAAGTTCCAGCGCAGGATATGAGCTGGACCATCAAGAACCCACTTACTTGTTTACAAAATGGAAATGTTCAGTAGATGTGAGAATTTGTCAGCATAACAATTTGTCAACATAGATGGTTGATTCAGAGGTGTCTGCAGCATGAGAGAAAATGCAGCAGCTGAGTTTTAAATAAAGTTACACCTTTCAGGAAGCGCTAGCTGATGTTTTCATGACTCAGAAATTCTAACTTTATACCCACCCCTTCCAAATCTGCTTAATGTATTTTTTGATCGGTCTCCTTACAACCTTGTAAACACGTTGCAATGAGAGCACTATGCATGTCACCCAAAGTAGAGGAAAGTAAGTTTTGAGATAAAAATAATCCATTATTTCATATTTCTAAATTAAAAGTTTTATTTTCACTTTACAGCTACCAGGATTTCTCCGCTACAACAATCTCAGATATGCACCTTAGAAACCTTATTCCATCACCTGACACCTATTTGCAGAAATGTGTTTTCTTATGAAGTACTTTCATACATGCTAATTCACTTTATTTCTAATCCCATGAGGTAAGTTCTGCATTAGATATTCCACATATCAATTTCTGTGTAGAAAAGCAGCTCAAGAAGCATTAGCAGTGTCACCAAATTTAATAGATTCCTGAACACCAAGCCACACATCAATGATAATATATTACCTGACCACCAACCGATAAGATCCATTTGGCTATATTGAAAAAAATCATTTGTATAAAATTCATGCCCATTGTTCTGCAAACTAAGTCACACCAAGTGCAAAACACTCTCCTTAGGTGGCAGTGCTCATTACATCATCTATTTATATTACCTTCTGTTTGGATCAGAAATCAATTTCTACATCCTTGGATCTTATTAAGAACTTGGTTTGATAGATGGGTGATTTAGCTTTCCTCTAGTATGACAGACATCTGAGGTGAGGAGAAAAGGTTAGTTTGACTCACAGATTGTATGTTTGAGTCATCGATGAGTTAGCCATGCTGCTTTTGGGTCAATGAGGGCCAGCGCATTATGGTGGAGGATAGGGGAACGCATTGTGAGGCAAGGGTGCTCACTTTATGACTCGATGTGAAAGAGAGAAGAGACTGACCTCCTGCAAGTGCATGACCCCAATCGCTAAAACCTCCCTAGGCTCCATGTCTCAAGAATTTTTTGTTATTACATCAAAAGGAACAGGGACTAAGCCTTTACCCCACAGGTGTTTGGGAGATTTCTTCAAATCCAAGTAGGAGCAGTGGGTACAAGTGATTGAGAGAATCCAGGTTTGTCTAAGCATACATAGCTAATAAACACAAGCTACCTGATCCAGATTAATCTCACCATTCTAGTAGATGATGTCTTTTCATTATGCAATGCCAAGTCTGCAAGAAAATGTAAGAAATTCTTCCTTTTAAGCTTTTTCGTACTGGCATAGCCCACATGTTTTATATGTTGCCTGGGTCGCTTATTTTATATTTTTCTCATTGTTTAAATGCTTTGTATGTATGCAATTAGAATCCTGTTAATCTTGACTATGTGTTGAATTCACTCTTATCTACAAACATTCTGTGATAGAACAAAGGTTTTTCTTGGATATTTATCCTATAAACGTTGACTGTAGTTTGTTTCTTCTCTTCCCTCTCTGCTTCTGTCATATCTCATAGCCACTCTCCAAGGGTGTGAAAGCCACAGCACTTTAGAGTTTGGAATGAGTAGTTAATCTAAGTGGCAGAACATGGAGGAAAAGCAGGAATTCTAACAACGTCCACTTCTGCCAGGATGTGAGCAGCTTTCTCCGAGGTGTGCTTCTGACCGTGATGCTTGCCATGATGTGCTGCTCACTGGAGCCTGCAAAGCTAGAGGCCCGACAGCAACTGTGGATTAAAACCAATGCGAACGGACTTGGACCATTCTTCCTATTTAGCAAGATGATATGAGTGATCATTCTACAAATCTCTCATCACAATTCTTTGGGTTCTCTTTTCTGAAGAAAAAATCCCATAGGTTTACCATCTTCTTTTCCTGTTCTAATCTTATCCTTTTATGTTTGTTATTTAATAATATTGACTTCTTAAGATAACAAGCCCACCATAGGTCTTTAGTCTGAATTAGAGATACAGTGGCACCATGTGTGCTCCTGGATCTGCTTTCATAAATACAAATTATCCTTTAGCCTAAATTTTGAAAACCCAAAAGCAGGCATTGTTAGATCATTTACACTTTGAAGAAGAGTATATGCAGAATGTTACAATTCCTTTGGAGTTTGAGAAGCATAAATGAAATTATTCAAAATCAGGTTCTACTCTTGCAATTTCTTGCTAAACATAAGAAAAATCATTATACTATCCCATTCTACTAAACTTAAAACTTAGAAGATTTCTTTTTTCCCCTCCCCTAATAAATAGAGTGCAGCTTTTCATTATAAAATATACTATAAAATTATTTTATTATAGCATATTTTATTGTGAAGTATAATCATACGTATTATTATTGCATTTATTAATATGAGGAGGTTGTGTGTATATATCCAGCATGCGTTTGTAGAGAGACGAAGGTACCTTGCTGAATAGGTTCTTTCCTTCCACTAAGTGAGACCCAAAGATTGAATTAAAGTCATTAGGCTTGAGATCAAGCACCTGTTCCAACTGAGCCCAACTTTCTAAACCATATGTAAGATTATTAAAGACACTAAATATTGCCTTGCTTCTGCATAAGTCAACAATTTTAATTGAAAGAAACTAAAATTGACAAGGAGTTTAGGAGTATATAAACTCAAGAGAAGAATTGGAGTTGAGTATATATAAAATGAAATTGAGTATTTAAAAAATCTAGAGACAGGAACTTGGCAAGTCCTCCAGGAAAGAGATATTCTTGTTTCTCTATTTCTTACCTCTGGATCTGTCCCAAAAGTTTGAATGCTCATCTTTCTCAAGTCCCTGGTATTTAATACTCAGGATGGAGTAGACATGATCAACAGTTCAGACCACAGGGGAAGACTGACCAGCTTTGTGCCCAGTAAAGTAATTGAATAAATACATTTCATGTTAGTATCACACAGATGTGTGCCTATGTATCCTTCCAAACTTCTGGAAAATTTCCTTACAGGTACACAAACACTTAAGTCAAATTCACAGTAGCTTGTCTTAGGAAGGAGTGTAAAATTGTCTATTTGCCCCCCTTTATTTAAACATACTTGTCATAAATTTTCTACCATCAAAAACATCATAATGTTTATTCCTCTGACCTGACTGTGCCTACCAAATGTTGGGGCTTAATGGGTATCTTTTGGGTGTCTACAGTATCATTAAAATTGAGGCTTAATGAGTAGAAAGATCACTAAGGGCAGGTCTTTGAAGGTAGTACTTATTCACTCATTCCATGTCTATGTCCTGTTGTCTGTGTTATGTATATTGATATCATGATAGAGAGCAAGACTCTATGCACACTCCTACAGTCATGAAGTACATCGTTCACTCTATGACATGGTGGATCAAAATTTCAGAGGCTGTCAGCCTAAACAAGCCCTTCCTTCCTTCAGTTGTTTAGTTAGAGGTACAAGAAAAGTAACCAATACAGAGTGCTTATTTTAAAACAATATAAATGCCTTTCTAGGTAGTATGGTAGTTTGAATGAGAAAAATGTTTCCCATAGATTCATGTATTAGAACATTCAGTCCCTAGAGAGTGATGCTGTTTGGGGAGGTTTAGGAGGTGGGGTCTTGCTGTAGGGGATATGGCAGAGTGTGGGTACTGAGAGTTTGTAATCTCACCCCATTCCAGTTCTCTCACTCCTATTCTGATAAGGGTTTGTTGTTGAGGATGCAATCTCGCAGTCTCCTGTTCCCACCATGATACCTGCCACATAATGCCATGTCTCCTTGTCATAATGGACACCAATCCCTCTGGAACCATGAGCCCAAATAAACTTTCTTCCATGAATTGCGTTTTGTCATGGTGTTTCATCACAAAAAGCAAAGTAACTAACTCAGATAATAATAGGAAATAGGAAGGGTTAAGTTAAAACAGTGTGTTAATAAGGATGAGATGATAAACATAATTCAATGTATGAGTAAAGAGGCTTTCAAAATGGAGTATGATCTAGGTAGGAAAATAAGTAACTATGAACCTGCTCTACTCAGAGTTTTGGAAAATTTTGATTAATTTTCTTAAGTTGGTGAACAATTTAATGGAGATTATTGCCTTATAATAGAATTATCGGGATATCTGAAAACCTGAGGTTAGAAAATGGGAAGGGACCAGAAGTGGTCAGCAGGCTGAATCCTGCCAATATATCTTGGTGGGAACAGTGCCTAGGGAAGCCTTTCTGTATATACTATTAAATCCTGAACACCATAATGTGCTCTGTGACTACCAGCTCTGCCTGTTGTATACCAACCTGGGTACCATTGCCACTGGGCACATACTAAGGTCAGTGCTATTGCCTCATTTCATCCATCACTGTGGTTTCTGGGCTCAGGGAACCTGGGAGAGTGGAAGCCCATCACATATTAAGTGTCAGGCTGTTCATGAATCTTCACAACAAGATAAGATGTTCCAAAGGTCAAACTATCAAGATTGGCTCACATCCTCTGAGCAAATTTACAGGACATTATCTTTTCTCTCATTCCACCCAGAATATTTGATACCACTAAAAAAGATGAATTAAATGATTTTTTTGCCTTCTAAGTTAGAACAACAATTCTCTATGTCTCTCTGACTTAATTGGCAGCAGGAAAATTGTGTGTATGTGAGCACACAATTCAAACAACTTGGGTTTTCCTGGTTGACAACAGATTAGAAAAACAATTAAAAGAGGGTAAAAGGCTGCTGTGAAGAACTACGCTGCTAGAAATGAGAACCAGCCATGACTCAAGAAATGTGACAGCAGAAACACACACACAACACACAACACACACAACACACACACAGGACAGCAGTAGTAGTAGACTGTTGAAGATATTGGTGTTGCTTTGTATAACTTTTAGCCAAGACATGAAATGGGTAAGCATTAAATAATTGAGAGCAATATGGAAATGGTGGGAGAAGCAAATTGATTCTCCTGGAGTTGTGGCAAAGAGGAAAGGATGGAAGAATATTGAAGGCAATCGAAAACATAAGAAACATACTGCCCAAGATCAAAATGAAGTTACGGGTAAGGCTCACAGTTAGCTTTGTGCTCAGCAGCTAGTAAATACTTTCTGGCTTTGAGCCCAGGCTGTAGAAGCCTGGCTTGCCTGAGTGTAGGTATTGTTGAGGTTCCAAATGTGAACAGTGGAGGGGGCTGGGAACAGGCAGCAGCAATTGCTGCTAAGTTCTGGCACTTGCTCTTTCTTTTCTAGGCAATTTTAAGACCCTCTTAATTGATCTACCTACATTTTCAACTCCCCAATATAATTTGTTCCTAACCTTTATTTTCTCTTCTCCCCTTTTTATTGGAAATAGATTTTTTTCATGTAATATGTCCTGATTATGGTTCCCCTCCCTCTACTCCTACCAGTTCATCCTCTGCTTACCTCCCATCCCAATCCACTCTCTTTCTGTCTTTCATTAGAAAAGAACAGGCTTCTAAGAGATAACAACAGAACAGCATATAATAAAGTAAAATGAAAACCATCACATTGAAGTTGGACAAGGTAAACCAACGGAAGGAAAAGAGCCAGAGAAGGCTTAAGAATCAGAGACCCACTAGTTCACACACTAGGGAGTCTCATAAAAATACTAGACTGAAAGCTGTAATATATAATCAGAGGACCTGGCATAGATCTATGTAGGCTCTGTACTTGCTGCTTCAGTCTCTGTGAGCTCATTTGAGCTTTGCTCAAGTTGTTTTAGAGGGCCTTGATCTCCTGGTGTCCCCCATCGCCTGTGTGTTGTAACTCTTTCCACTTCGTTGTTTGTGGGGTTCCAGAGCTCTGAGAGGAGGGATTTGATGGAGATGTATCATTTAGAGATGTTTGTTCCAAGTTTTCTCTCTCTGCATGATGTCGGATTGTGGGTCTCTGTATTTGTTCCCATCTTCTGCAGGAAGAAGTATCTGTGATGATGGCTGAGTAAGGCACTGATCTACAAATATAGCAGATTATATTTAGGGGTCACTATTTCTTCTTTTTCCTTTTTTTTTCAAGACAAGGTTTCCCTGTGTAGCCCTGGCTATTCTGAAACCCACTCTGTAGACTAGGCTGGCTGTGAACTCATAGAAACCCACCCGCCTCTACCTTCCTTGCCCCACCACTACCTGACTACTATTTTTTTAAAGACCAGTTGTATTTGGTTTTACCCAAGATCTCTGGGCTATTTAGTCTCTGGTTCTTGGTCACCCATGCAGTGCCAGATATGGGTTCTATCTTTTGGAGAGGGCCTTAAGTCCAATCAGGCATTGGTTGGCTACTCTTACAAGCTTTATGCCACCATTTCCTGAGCATATTTTACAGGCAGGACAACATTGTATATCAAAGGTTTTGTGGCTAGGTTGGTGTCCATGTATTTCTTTGGGTAGCCTGCTTTCTGTCTTCCCATATTAAAGACATTAGAACTTATGGGTGAAGGTTCTATGTAGACACCAGCTTGACCTCTCCATGTTTAATGAGTTGTTTAGGTGTTGTCTTCAGCAATGTGGCCTTGCTGTCACTTGTGGAGAACAACCTATTGTCTTGGCAACAGCCTGGATTGTTCGGAGATTACCATGGGAACCCTTTGACCAACGACTCAATTGAATATAATCCAGTCTCATTTGTTTGGTGACAAGAGATGTGCAGTTGAAACACTATTTTCTGTTCTGTTTGTGTGTGTGTGTGTGTGTCTGTGTGTGTGTGTGTGTGTGTGTGTGTGTGTGTGTGCTTTCCCATGCTAGGTAAATGTTTTATCACTGAGACACTCCCATATCTTTTCTCTCACTCTTCTTTACAAGTTACTCTGATAAAATCTGGATATGAAATTCAATATTGTACTTTCTCATACTAACTGGCTTTATTTCTATCTGTTCATCCTCATTTGATGTATACTGCTCTCCCAAAAATCTATGCTGATTTTGTCAATGAGGGAAATCGGATCCACCTTCATCTTAATCTTCTTAATATTTGAATGATTAATATACAGGCAAGATTATGTCAATCTCAGTCTCAGAAGTTAATCTTTTGGGCATTACATTTTTAGGTTCCACCTCGAGTTACTGGGGTGAGAACAGGGAGAGAAACAAAAGGCTTTAGGTTGCCAAAGCCCTAGATGGGTAAATCTGTCTAACAACATGATTCTCCATGTAGAAAAACTCAATGAGCCCACTAAAAATTACTTGAAGTAATAAAAGACCTTGACAGAGCCACATAATGCAAGTCCCAGAGACATAATTTTGTATTGTACATCAATTATAGTTCTATATTTAAACAGTAGCAATATAGAAAAACAATTAAGATGGAAATAAGATGGAAATTTCATTCACAGTAGTATCAGAAATACTAGGCTTAGGAATAAACAGCAGTAGAAAGGCAGAAGGATTGTACACCCCAAAGTAAATGATGGCTGGAAAAAATTAAAATTCTAAGTAAGGGGAAAGATGTCTCATTAGAGAGGACTAGAAACCTCAGTGTGTTGCATGGTAACAATATTCCTCAAACAAAGTGGTGGAGTTCATGTCATCCTCACTGAAATGCCAGACTGACATTAAAAACATTAACTAACTGACCATAAATTTCATTTGGAAATGCAAAGGCACAGAATGGTCAAATAAAAGGTAAGAAGAATGACAGCATGGAGACTGATACTACCAGGTTAAAAACTTCTTACAATAATTAATACAATGTGGCATGGGCAGGTGGATAGGTACATGTAGAACGGAATAGGGAGGATGGAATTAAAAGCCCAGAAATAAAGACGTATGTTTATGATACATTGATTTTGTATAGAAGCACCAGCATAATTCAAAGGCAGAAAGATGAATAGTCTCAGCAAGTGATTCTGAATGCACCAGAAGAATGGATTTAGGGACAGGATCACACCTACACAAGAAAGTACTGAGTAGGAGTGAGAGATTCAAGTGTAAGCAAATGACAGGAACTCTTAGAGGAAGGCGTAGAGGTAAAGATTTTGGTCATGGATTAGACTATATTTTCTTAACTCCAGCACAAGTACAACTATGAAACAAAACTAGCGGGTAAGAATAGGGAAATGGTCAGTAGTGAAAGGGCTTGCCTTGCATGTGTGAGAATCAGAGTTTAGATACCCAGAACCAACAGAAATGCTGAGTGGGTGGGCCAATCTGTTTGTGCTTCCAACTCCCAGAAGGCAGGGACAGAGCAGTCCCAGAGCAAGCTGGGTAGCTGGACCAGCTGTATAGGAGAGTTGTAGGTTCAACTGAGAAACCATACTTCAATGAATTAGGTGGGGAGTAATGAAGATTCTCAACATCACAATTGGGTCACCACACTCCCTTGTGTGTATACACATGTGCAAAGGCATTTAGGTATATACAAACATACATACACTCTCACACACCGCATACACACATACACATGAAAAATTAGAATAGAAGTTTTCTAATATTTTCATCATATTTGTAAAATGAAAAGATAATATACAGAATAGGAAAATACTTATATAATTTATATGTAGTGAACTCTTCTAATTCAATAATTAGACAAACAAGCTAACCATAAAATTATCAAAGAATTTTAGTAGACATTTCTCTAAAATATTTACAAATGACAAATAACTACATGAAACACTGTCTCATTATCCATTTGGGGAATGCTAGTCAAAACCACAGTGAGACACTGTTTTATATGCATTTGAAATACTACTATAAAAAAGCCACACAATGAAAATTCTTATTGCTAGTGGGGATGTGAAAAAAACTAGAACATCCTAACTGGTACATTCACACATTGGGAATGCAAGATGATGCAGTCACTTCAGGAAATAGTTTGCCAGCTCCTCAAACTGTTAAA